ACTAATCTTGAAAATGTGATTTGATATATATATATATATATATATATATATATATATATATATATATATATATATATATATATATATATATATATATATATATATATATATATATATATATTCATTTTAATCACTGTTTAGGATAGTTTCAAAATGGATACCCCAAATATTCAGGATTTTCAGTTTCATCGCCAACGGTAGACCCATAAACATAAACAAGCGAACTGTTGTTTTCCAAAGGCGCGATCATCCTGGTGCAACAGATTATCAGCAAGTTTAGACTGAATAATTGATGTAAAGATGTTTTGTCTTGTCTAGATGATTACATCATATCAAAACACAAACGTCTGACTGTGCTTACCGGAGTCTAAATTATGAGCATCTTTAACCTTACAACCTGGTACAAACATAAGATGCACGTTGGAAACCCTGAAACCGTCCACTGTTTTATATTATAATAATCAGATTAACCATCAATACATCTGTGTCGTTTACAGGCAGAATCATTATTCGAGTCGGCAGAGTTAGCAGCAGATACATTATTATTATTATTCTGGCACATTACAGACATATAGTCCAACAAAACATAATAATACATAATATTATTATACATCTGTCACCGTAACACCACAAGTTACAGCGTGCCGTAATTGTGCGGTATTTTACGGGTTATTTTCGTCCTACCATATTAGGAAATGTGAATTCCAAATATGGAATGATTACGAGCGTAAGCATCCTCTAATAATAAAAACAAACATGGCTGCCAGCAGAGTTTGACCGACTCAACACAAAGAAGATCGCTGATTCTGTTCTAAACATTTTGGATTTCGGCATTCCCATGGTGTATCCTTGGAAAGTAAAGATGTATAATAATAAGGTTATTACGAGTCAGAATATCACAAAGTATGCACTCAGACAGTACGCTGCGCGTCGGTCGATACTGTCTTCCTGCATATTTTGAGGACTTCTCGTAATAACCTTATATTAACACCAACAATGGACCATGCGCACTAACAGTGCCACCATAGGCTCGACTCAATTGAAACCTACTGCTCTATGTATTATAGTGGATGAATATCCAACGTCATCAATAACATACCAGTGATTTTGCAAACACATATAGTGTGCATCACACAGAGTGTTAACAACAGGTCTACTGGACTTAATTGACCTACAGTTACAATGTTTGTTTCCAATCGCTCACAATCAAATCTTCATTATCCGATATAGGTTTTAATCATATGGGATGAGGTTATTGTTAAAGGAAACCCCAATGTTGCGAGAAAGTTTAACTCAGGGAGTTGAACTAGAACCAATGATGACCTTGTCAATTTATATTTTATCGAATGTTTTCAGGTTTAAAATCATTGAGTCGAAGCTTGTTGTTTGACATCTAGTTATTGATGACATTGACACCGGTATCAATAGAAGTAACTGCTGAAGATGATTGTGTATGAGAGAAGGCAAGGTAATATTGAATATCATCCTTGTGAAATTATGTTATCAAGTGTAGCCCATAAACAGATTTGTATGATGATGATGATGATGACTTGGCGTAACCAACGCTACAATAATTTTACAAAGTTTGGTTGCCATTCTGTGCCACGTGACTCTGGGTCAATGTCTCCAGACCACAATTCCATTAGTTCATATTATACAAAGTAATATCAAAGTTCATTGTTTTCTTTTTTTCTATTTTATTGTCGTCGTGCACAGTTACATAAAGACGTTAAGTGTTTCCATGTTCTCGAAGTGTTCCGAGAGACACCATAGTTGATCTACGAAGTAACTAATGTGAATTATCATTTAGCTATTGCGACAACATCGCCCCCGACGTTACCAATTCCATATTGGTAATACATTTCATCATTAATGAAATTTTAATGATTTTACTCGACTAGTGAACAAAGCCGTGAATAATTAATGCCGCCAGTGTCAAATATCATATTACGATGAAAAGGCTGCATAAGTAAATTGTCACTGATATTGACTCTTATGAAATTGTGTACATGTCGTATACATAAACACTTATACAACATGCATAGTTGGGTGTTTTACCTTGAAACATTACATGTGTGTTTGTTTGTTTCAGAAAGTGCTTCAAGATAAAACAATTTGGAAGAAAAGTTTTTTTTAGTTACTTTTATGAAATTGTGTACATGTATACATAAACACTGATAAAACATGCATAGTCAGATGTTTTAACATGAAACATTGCATGTGTGTTTGTTTTATAGGAAGTTTTTCAAGAAAAAACTATTTGGAAGAAAAGTGTTTTTGCTACTCTCATAAACACAAATGTGTCTTGACATTGACACTTTATGAAACATTTATGGTCTGCTATATTGGGTTGACACATCGTTGGTAATTTGGCTGTCTGAAGTGTTTCACATTAAAACAATTTCGAGACAAATATTTAAATGACATGTGAGAATGCTCAGATGTGATTGGAACTACAACTACCGTTCACCAAATGCAGATTGATAAAATTTGTTAGACCACGAGATACTTAATTCACCTCGTGTCTAAATTTCTCGCTATATTTCTCGTAAAACCATATAGATTGGTGCTTGACATAACATTATTTTCTGAAGGTAATGTCATGACCCATCTCATTATGCGTTGAATTTCGTCACTTTAGGCGATTGTCTAGTTGGCATATATAACATAATGCTTACACACGAGTCCCCAGACGTTTCACTCAATTTTGTTAATACACCTTGCATAAAGTTGGATGTATTAGTCCACAAATATCCTATCAATATAAACACTTCAATGAAAAATGTATATCCCCGTAAAACACCTAGTGTTTTATTTTGGAAAAGTGTATTCTTGTGTGTTTACAGTGTGCTTAATTTTAATCAAAAAGTGTGTTAATAACTCCCTGAAATACTTTTGCAAGTACGTTTTGGTGGCTTTATATTTTGGAACCTTACTTAACAAGTACTATACTAATGATGTTGTTGTTATTACAAGGATCAATGAATGATGTAACGAGCTATTTAGTCAACTTAATAAAATAAACAAACACAAAAATAATCACAATACCCATTGTCTGTACACGACATATGTTGATTATTTCAAACTATTTTCTCGCTTTTTAAAAACATAACCGTGTTTTGAAAATGGATTTTCATTATCGATAGCCATATTAAATTAAATTAAGAGTATTGTTTCGGAGTTATTAGAATTGCAGTATCCTCGTCCCCACAAAGTCCATTTTTATGTTTACACTTACTACAGTTACAACTACAAGTTATATCAACAAAAGTGGGACACATTGGAATGTATTGTGTGATGTGTCTCCATTTGTGAATTAAATCATTTCCAAAAGGGAACTCATAACATTTCATAACCTCCGTTGATACTGCCATATTTAACTCTTTGTCTTTTTCAGTAAATATATTCCTCCATTTTGAGATACCGCGCTCCTCTTCAGTGCCTGAGACCACAAACAAGTAAAGGTGAATGAGAAGGTCATACCGATTCAAGAAATCTTATTCTAGACTTATCAAATTACTGTTTTCAGTACACTGCTAACATGGTGTAAGTAAAATATGTGCTTAGTCTGATATTTAACGAAAACTATCTAAAATTAAAACGGCGTGCTGATTTTGGTTTTACATATCTGCCCTGTTTGTTTGTCTGTTTGTTTTGAAACTACTCATATACAGTAGTGTTGGAACTTTTAACTCACCAGGGATAGTGTTGTCAAATACAAATGCAATGATTCCACCAACAAACATACCAGTACTTAATAACACCATTATAATCTGGTCAAGCTGGTCAACACCTGAATGACATAATATAAAGTCTACAAGTCAAATTCAAGAAATGTTAAAACTATGACGATTTATATATTTACGCATCAAACTATAACGCGTACACCATTACAATAACTTGCATCTCTCATTTCTTCCAAGATTACACATTCAACGAATATCAACAACAATATTTCTGTGTGGACGTCATTGTTTTAATCACATATTTTTACAAATGATTCAGTTATTCTTTTGCCGGACATTACTACAATATCTCATGATGATTTACTTCATAGAAAAGTATTTACAAATTATACCTGTATTGATGGTTCCCTTGTTGTTTTTTATCCAGTTTGGCATGGTTAGGCCAATGAAGATAGAAACTCCAATGATGAATAGATTCCGAGATGAATTCATATCAACAAATTGCAGATTCGTAAGGCCTACAGCGGTGACAATACCTTTCAGAAAAAAACAACACTGATATGTACATGTGTGTTATACTAGCTATTTTGAAATACGATAAAAATAAAAATCGAATTGGGCTATTGCCATAATGATTAGTACTAATGGTAGCGTGTATTGTCATGACTCTCATTGGCTCTTAAAAGCGATGCTTATTTGGGATTCAAGTTAAGTTTATTCAACATACCAAACAAAATACAGAACATGCCACCTATTACAGGATCCGGGATTGCGGCAAATAATGCTCCAAATTTACCCAACATTGCTAAAAGCATCATTATTAAGCCTGCTATAATTACGACCATGCGACTTCCAACCTGAAATAGACACAAAATTAACAACTTGAAATAGACACAATGTTAACAACCTGAAATAGACACAATGTTAACAACCTGAAATATACACAATGTTAACAACCTGAAGTAGACACAATCTTAACAACCTGAAGTAGACACAATGCTAACAACCTGAAATAGACACAATCTTAACAACCTGAAATAGACACAATCTTAACAACCTGGAGTAACACAATGCTAACAACCTACATTATGTTTTAATAGAACCTGAAATAAAAATAATGTCAATACATTATACATAGGTAATTATTTCACTTGCATCAACACATGACTTGTGGCTGGTCATTACTTCTAACGTTAAACAGGCTGCATCGAAAGTCAAACTAATAGAATAGCAGTTTTCATAATATTTGTGTTATTATTTTATTTTTTTTCTAAAATTATACTTGTCAACAAAACTAAGAAGAGTCTGTGACGCACTCATTTTAACGGACTCGCGTTGTAACAAGAAATATGTTTTTTTGCTCCGAATATGAGGTCGTGACAAATATTTATTTGATTCGCACCTTAGTTATAGAAATAACTCCTATGTTTTCAGAGTAGACTGACACACCATTTCCGCATCCCCAGATACCCGATATCATGCCACCAATGCCTTGAACAAAGATTCCGCGGTTTATGGCATGTGTTGGTGGAGGCGGCGCCATAGATATCCTAGCAGCAGCGTAGTAATTGCCGACCGAATCAACCATAGCTACCAAGACAGCAGGTAGCATTCCAATAAATCCAGTTATGCTGACAGTAGGTACGCCCCACTGACCTAAAAACAGACGAAGTATTAATAGTATTAGGAACGTACACCGCAATAATTCTCCACATCACAGTAACAACATCTCGTGTGAAGTATCTAATGTGAAGTATCGGAGTATTTGATTTCTCCAATTGGCAGTTGGATATTACAATTGCTTATACGTGTTGTATTGCAATTAAATGCTTTATTTTCCTATATATGAAGCCATATTTCACCATATGAATATATCAACCAGATACATTATGCTATCCAAGTTTATTTACTGTGAGTGTTTACTTTGAAGTGTGTATTTCTGGAATTAATCCTACCATATCCTCCTTGTTACGATAGGTAATCGGACATATACATAATGTTGTAATAGTCATGATATTCTTAAAAAAATTGTTTTTAAATGTGTAAAAGACGAAAGCTGACAAGCACCAGAAGCGTGTCGATAACAATATGCGGTATAAAAAATCTTACATGGATATGGGATATAAAACCACTTAGAATTATAAAACACATTCATTCTGATATCTGTGCGTGCTGGGTATCCATATGACTCTATACTATCTGGTAATGCATCAGTAACAGTCAGGATGTAACACAGTAACCATGCCAACGCGATAGCCAAGATAACCTATAAATAAATATCATGATGGAAAAAGCAGATGACACTAAACAGGTCATTAATTCATGTGTTTGGCAAACCGACTGATAATATAAATAGTAGTTTTCGCCTTTAAACGCGGCGACAGAAAATATTGGTTGCAAAATATTTGAAAATATAAATGTAAATTATAATCCCGCTGAGAATCTAAACTCAAGTGACAACTCGTGCGAACAGAGAAAAACCGTTGGCGATTTAATTTTTTCAGATTTCCCGTGTAGAATAACGAAGAACAGTTTAATGTTTATATAGTATTCTCTTCGCAAGATAAACAGTATTTAAGATTATGTTCATTATATATATTTTCCTTGTCACTAGTTAGAGCAATGTTGTTTTTACGATCAGCATGGATCGACGCCTCCCAGAAAACGTATCGTTTAAATAGATGAGTTAAAATCATGGTAACAGATGCATTCAAGGAAAAGCATTCCAAAAAAACTAGAATCTCCTTGGGATCAAAACTTAGTTGTTTGCCGACTACAAAATATATTCTGCTAAAAAAATGTTTGAAATATTGTAAATTCGAATGTTTCCACAATACACCAATAATTTCAGGCACTCGTCAAAGGTGATATTACGCGTTATTGTCAAATTGAACATCACAGTTTCTAACTTGCTCAGTCCCGTCTTGGAAAAGCACGGGACTCTTTTCTCTTACTGTTCCGTTTACACATCTCTCGTGAAATATACGATACCACTGATAGAATTACCACAAATTGCACGAAAGTTTGTCGTTGCCATAACAAGAAATCTATATAAAAAAAATAATTAACGGCAAATATTGATGATGTCATGTGTTAAGTTTGTATAATATAAATACAAACATGTGCATATTAATAAACGCTTTGTTTTAATTCGCCAAATCAGTGCTATATTTTAGCATTTTAGGTAATAATAATTGTAATAATCAGGTTTCGCAGTCCGTGATATTTAAGCCAATTTATTCATTTCCCAGGCAGATACACAGGTGCACTTGATTCATATAGATATCAAATATATACACTCAGACTATGCACGTTATAAAAACTGACTGTTTATGATTGTTTCATATCAAACAAACTTACAGGCAAGATGGTAAAAAGTGGATATTTTTTGACGCGACACCCGCTACTTCTGTTCCACACGTAACAAGGTACGGATACATTCTTCAAATACTCTGAGAATATGGTTATTATTACCATGGTACTGAAATTTAATGTATTATAAATTATTGCCACAATGGTCAACACTCTACACATCAAACAAGAGAGTTGAAAATATAATTTGAAAATTTACAGATATACTGATTCCTGATGGGAAGGAAGACTTGTTTGATGGTGAAACACGCTTGTAATTAATGGCTTCGGATTACCGTATTTATGGTAATCGTGATACACCTTATACTTACAAGACGGATATTCCCCAATGCGAACCAGCGAGTTCCCCTGCTTGGTCAAATAGGGAGAGGCCAATCAACACAATGGTGGGTGTAATGGCAAGAGGACCTATGAAACGTAGTACGATTCCAACTAGGCCTGTAAGACCAATAACGACCAGTAAGCCAGAGGAAGCTGCGATGTTACCTTGTATCTGGTTTGCAAAAAAAGACATCAATGATTAATTTTCCCGGGTGGTGTACAAATGCCTTGTAATAATATATGTCTCATAAATAAAACAGTTGCTTTGGTTGGTTAATACATGTTCGCGTGATAGTTGATAAATATTAATAGCAGATAATGGTATGTCTGACATTGCGGATTGCTGCCTGTCATAGAAGCCAATTTCGATCTAAATTTTCAGCTTATATTATAAATACATTTTCGGTGTGACATATCCGAAACATTAATGTATTAATAAACATAAATGTTTACTTCTCTCATTCTCACTTGCCAAAGTTCTTCGCGTTCTTCACCAGTCATATTAGCAACTATTTCTGAAAAAAAGACAATGCCACCATTTCCTCAATCGGTTTGATTTTTATGTATTGTAATTTAAATAATATATTATGTAATATAAATTTTAAATTTGTCTGGAACAATTATTGTTCTGTTTTGATTGTATACTTGCCCGGTGCAGGACAACTCCACTTTGGAAGTGCAAGAATCGCAACTATCGCCACCAAGAACGCTAATGAACTTCCATGAACTACTGGTAATCTGTTAAAAAATATTTGAAATTTATTTCTCAATGTAATAGTTTATTATTATAGGCAGTCGTAAACAGACTTTATGTTTATATATTGATGTCATTTCACGCCATGCAATAATTGGTACGAGATGTGTATTCCAATAACTTTTAAAAACTGCTGGTTACACTACAATAGCTCTTCATATTAATATTGAATAGTATAACACAAAAAAGTGGCGCCTTATCTATTTAGTTGGCAATTGGGAATAAACGTAGTTGTGCATACATGGTTAATTCAATGTTATGATAAAATAGAATGCTAAACCACGCTAATACTCAATACAATACCCACTATTGGAATTCAGTATTTGGCATTTAGTATTGTAATGGTGAAGGCTTAGAGAAACAAACGTGAAAAGTGTAAGACACATTGGGAAATCTTCCAATGATGTCAGGGGGATTTTCCGCAATACACACATTCTACATTTATATATACATGTTTCACCTACAGTGATACCAAAATTACGGATTTAGTAAAAGAAGTTGGTCAAGAATAATACCACCAAATAATACCTTTTTGAATAGCGTGGTGTTATTTTATATTTTCAACAAAACATTAACATTATTAGAATTACTCAAAAAAGATCACAAACACCAGTAGCAACGATACATTCTTAAATAATGTAAACTACTATTTGAGTGAGCTGACATTGCTTTATTGTTACGTATATGCATTGAATACATATATGTTGGATGAACACATCCTGGCCACGACGAGGTGTACCATGTTTGTGGTTGAACTTATACTTATTTCCTAACACATGATATACAAAATGTGAAATATTGTTGTTGTTATTACGAGCATTGTACACGTTAATTCAAACGGATTCGGGAAATAATCTTATCGTATTTACCTAACACCAAATAATACTTGCAATATAGTAACCAAACCAGACACAAAAAACATGGTTGCTATCAGATCAGCGCGTGCCTCGTCAGTCTTTGACATACATAATGCATCAGCCAACATAATGGAAGTAGCTAAAATTGCCCCGAACATAGATAAGTAATGCTATGAAAAAAAAATTGAATAGTGAACATATTAATATACGTAGAATACAGACAAATAACAGAGTCAACATTCAACCGGAAAAAAACGCATGGTAAAAGAAGCTAAATGTAATCTCCGAAGAAGGAGTTTGTTTGATGTTTTAAGCAAGCGCCTCCAGATCCTCAGTAGTAATGAACGGCGGAGTTAGCAGTATACTCACATTGCGTGCATATAACAAACAAATGTAAATGCCATGTATGATGTCCGGAAACTACAAATCCTCTCACCCTGGGAAATCGTGATTGCGATGTCAACAGTAACTACGTGCCTCATTTTTTTTTTATAACAAATGTTTGTAGTCAAAGCTATTTTGAGTTGAATATACAACACACGAGTCCAGGGAAATTATACATAACAGTATATGTAATGTTTAATATGCTATCAGACAAATTATTTGACGACCATGGGGATATCGAATCTGTTAATTTTTCGTTGTCGTCATTTACGATTCCCCATTAAGTTCAAGTACTAATAGTAGAGGTGACCATATAGTGTATGCACGGTATTGTACTACATGAGGATTAAAAAATCAGATAAATTTAATGTAGAATGACATGAGAAGAGGGAGGATATTTTTTTCATTATGTATAATATATTCGTTTCTTTCATGTCTAATGCGTCATGTCCAGAATATGTCGTGTTTGTCCTGCAGAATATATCACCTACCTGAAAACCAAGAAGTATGGACAGGAACCATGGTGGAGAATCTGCAATGCCATAGGTCATATCTCCTTTCATATTCTGCAAGATCTGTTGAGCTTCTTCCTTTGAGCTGATTTGACGCTAAATAGAGTCAGAAATTGGAAATAACATACCCAACCATGGATCCAAATATAGTCAAAGCAGTAGAGACAAATATATGCTTTCTATTTATATGTTTATATATTATTATACTTTATTTCAGACTCAAAGGTCCATGGAGAAATTACAACAGAAATAGCATTATTTATAAAGAAAGCGTCTATAATTGCGCCATAAACTTGGCCTTAGGAATAAATCACTGTTTATACAACTATCAATTATACTATTGAAACTCGCTGTTTAAAATTGTACAAAGATTTTCGATGAAGTGTTGAAAAATTGAAAATATTTCTTCTGACACAATTATCATTTGCACTGCTCGACCTCTCTAATTTATAGTTAGTTTTAGGAATAGGAAATAAGCGCATGGAATTTTACCTTTTTTAATTATACTGATAGACGACAACAACATTTATTTCGGGACATAATCATATACGCAATTATTCATGCAACAACAATGTAATAGTGTGTATGTAAATGAGCGAGTACACGCAAGCTGTAATGTGATTGTCACAAAATATAATATATTGATTCGTAATGACTGTCTTGGACAACAACAGACATGCTCTACTTTCCTTTATGTTTTACCTATGATATCTCGCTGTAAGCATTTATGCTTGAACACTACGCTTTCTATGACGAAATTTTGCTTGGAGGGTTGTTTGTGAAGTCTTGAACATATTTGGAGAGTTTTCGGGGATTTTCGAAATGATTCCTTCATTGAACTGATTAATGACTATATTATATGGCGCATTAGTATATTACACTTGATGTTATGTTGTGTCACTTATTGTGTCTCATTCACTATTGTTCTGTTGTACAGCACTCAACTATACCAAGGTGTAAGGATCTTTCCATCAACAATGGAGTCGACCTCACGCATGTTGATTTCTTGTTATGCAAGAAATGTGAAATAATTCGTTTTCCTGTGGTTAACAATCTAACAACTATTGTTGACCAGCTTGGTGGTACTAACTACACTGAGATAAACAGTGGTGATAAATGTGTTATTTTCAATTGTTGATGAGATTGTGTCACTGAAGGAAAGCAAGTGGAGATTGACTAAGGTAACTTTATGTAAAACTCATTTTTTAGTTGATTTTATACAAACAGAGCAGGTTGATATTTTTGTAGTAACAGAAACGTGGTTACAACCAGATTCTTACGTGCTAATGAGGTTAATGACGTGTTAATGACATCACTCCTGATGGGTACAAATTTGACTTTCATCATATAATTGATCGTAGTGGTGGGGGTTTGCCTGTGCTAAACAAGGGGTCTTTAAAACTAAAGATTATTCAGTATGGTACTAAATCGTCTTATGGTTTCATAGAAGTATTGTTCCCAGCGGATCATTTTTTGTGTACAGAATAATAATATTTAGTACATTTTCAACTGAATTCTCTTCACACTTAGAATAATTTTGCGTGTTTTCTGGTCATTTGTTTATTGCAGGCGATTTCAATGTTGATGATTGTAACAACACTGATTTTGTACATTAGGTTGAAAAAATCACGTTCAATATCAGCAAGTGATAAAATATAGAGAACATGGAAATGTTTAAGAGGGAGGTGTCTAAGTTACTTATTGTTTCTCCGGATATGGATATCAGTAATATGGTGTCCACATATAATGAAACAATGGGTAATGATGATTTTTGTAATGATTCCTGTAATTACCAGAACTGACATTGGCGAAGGTGATCAAAAAACAATTGTTTCTCATTACTACATTACCTTGGAATTGGCATGTTATTTTAATCTTTTTCATTAACAAGCTTAATGTAACAAGTTCCAGAGTTATGGGGACCCAGAACTGTAATTGCATGTTACAGCGTATGATATCAGGGGGAAATTCTTCTCTTCGGGGTTCTCCACACGTGTCAGGGGGGAATCTCGTCTCGTCTCTATATCTCGTCACCTTGAGGTGCGGGATCGGGAAAGTCACTTATACTTTACAGTCAAATAAGACACACACAGCGAAATACGTTTCAACTCTCGTCTTAGCCGATCAGTCGAGCACTATATAAGACACAGCGCCCTGGGGAAAAATCCCCAAGACTATCGCAAGGCTGACCCAAGACTCTCTTAGACTGCGTCAACACTCGCCCCAAGGCTCTCCAGGACTGGACTTGTCCTGGTCTACTCGCCAAGACCAACTAAAACTCTTTTTATTCATTTTCAAAACTCTAACCAATTACAAAACAGTAAAAAGATTCTAGGGCGTAACCTTCAATCATAAAGCCAATCACATTAAGTACTGAATACGTCATATCTTTTGATTAATCGTTCACTACATTAATAACTACGGATACCAACTGTCAGAAATAATAGTCAGAACAGCGACGGTTATCTCGAAATTAGTTTCAAATCACTGAGCCAAGTTCCGTCCAAAACTTCAAATAGGCCTAAACGATGACAGACATAACACAGCAATTCGCTAATAATCAGCTAATTAAGTCGGTCAACAGATACGCAAAAACAAGTTCATGACAATGACATGGTGGGAGTGTGTACAAATCCTTTGCAATCTCAGCAGTCGCTAGGTCGGTGTGGTTTGTTAGCTTGTGTATATATCTGGTAGCTTCGCTTATACGTAGGCTTCGAATACGAACACAGCTTTACCAGCATAAAACGTAAATTACAAGTGACCTCAATGTGATGACGCATGCTTTATGGAATACCGAAAACGGTCCCGAAGCATGCGTCCTGTGTACACAAATGTTAATAACCTTAACGAGATGAATATTATTTTAAAATGCAATTAAACGCTGGAATCACGTACTAGTATATTCGTTCTTGACTTCTCTGTCCGTTGTTGTTATTTAAAGGCTGTACACGCTTGTTATACTAAACTAGTCACCAAATTTAACAAATGTTTTTCATGTGAGCGTTGGCAAGCCTAAATAGATTTCGATTACATACAGCGCCACACCAGAGGCTGTTATCGGCTCCATGCGTGACTTTTTATGACACCGCTGTTCTTATCAATTCGATTCGTCATGTTGAACAAATTTTAAAGGAATTTAAATTATTATCTGATGATGATGTTTAAATATATTTAAGGCATCACGCATTAAGTCAAGCAAGTAATTTGACCTGGACCCTTGAGTGTTATAACAGTGTGTGGATGAAATTGGAGGATATATAAAATGTATTGTTAAAACCTCACTGCCTAATTGTGTTTCCCAATCAAAATTAATGGTAACTATAATAGTAATTATCGTTGGCTGTCAAAAAAATCAAAAATCAAAATAAAATACTGTTGCATATTACGAAGAAGGATAAATTCCAGTCAGCATATAAGAAGTTTCACAGTACAGAGATTGCCTTACTCAAAGTACAAAATGATATATTAATGTCCATGGACATACAGAATGTTTGTGTTTTAGTACTTTTGGATTTGAGTGCAGCATTCAACACGGTGAGAGTTTATTAGAACGGTTTGAACAATGTTTTGGTATTTCAAGGAGGGTCTTTTTAATTCTTGTTTTAAATCATATTTAACAAGCAGATACAAGAGTGTCTTGATCAAGGGTCAAACATCCCCAATGAAAATGTTAAAATATGATGTACCTTAGTTTTCGGTGATAGGGCTGCTTTTGTTTAGCATGTATACTTTCCCACTTGGTAGTGTTATAGAACATCATAAACTATCATATCCTCTCTATGTCGATGATACCCAGTTATACATATCATATCAACCAAACTCAGTATATGATTGTGACCTAACTAATCTTAAGGAATGTGTTTATTGAAAGATTGTTTGGATTACTGCAATATTTTATTGTATGCTATAACGAATGTCCATTATTATTATTATTATCTAATAGTAAAACATTTGGGAGTCTTCTTCAAGGTTTTATGGTCGGAAATACTATGTTCAAGTTATGTGGCTTACCTTTGATTCCACATTTTCCTTTTCTGTCATCGTTTCCATTTCTACGGACATTATATATGTGTGTCAGGTTCAACCATATACAGTACAGTACCAGAAGCCAACTATGCCAGAACAACAATACAAAATGTCATGGAATTGCTGTTATAATATTAAACATGCAAAATGGCTTGGATACAGACAAGCTATGGATGCCTTAAATCCATCATAAATTCGATTATTTTTAGTTGGCTAATGTTGAGGGTATGTTCTCCAGATCGAGTTCTGTACAATATATATGTCATGTTTCCATTATATGTAATTTCCTTCGCTATGTAATTTCAACAGTTTTTTTTAATGACATTGTTATATGAATGTTGATAGTGATGGGTGAAGGATTTTATATTGAAAATATTATTGACATCAATTTTTATACAACACAATGTTTGGTGGGTACGACGCAGATCCCTATTTATACATTTTGTAAAATGAAAAAAATCCAAACGACAAACCTCAATTTGAAGTCCTTATTGGCATGTATAATGATGAGTACAGGCTGTATATATCCAACTTAGTTTAAGAACAGCAAATATTTCTGACTACATTTCATCCACCATTCGCGTAATGGGCATATGAACACTTACGCGCATGCGCGCAGCTGAACTCAAATTTATAAATAAACAAACAATCGTGCAGCAGACCTCAATATAACTGGTTCACATATTCAAAGCATTGTTATGGCTCATTATTCATTTGTGAACATTCATTAGGAACACAGACGCGTCCGATTTCTGAAACATTAAGTGAATAAGTATATTTTTAGCATTATATATCATTATTTTCAGCATGTTTTCATCCAATATATCTTTGGTATTTAACATATGGTGATTATTAAATATAAATATCTGATATTTTGACTATGATACTCCGTGAGAATATTTAGAGATAATGCTTTCATGCTTACTATTCATGTACCTGACGTGGGTCTATTTTGATAATTTGGCTTTTATTTTTTATTATTTGTAAATGTGTCTATTTATGTTGTTTTACAATTGATATTTTAAAATATGTCTGCCAGACTATACATTCACTTATCATATACCTCGTATCACCCGGCCTAGTAACGCTATTGGAATCCCAATGCGCGAGCCGTGCAATGATTTTCCATATCACGCCCCAATCTCCTTCCCAGAGGCCTTTTCGCAATAGTGCCTCTGCCATAGGCAGCCTTCAATTTTGTGGTCAATCACCTCACTACGCACGGTCATTTTCCTGTAGTTGTTACATCTGAAAACGTATTTAAAAAAGTGGAAAAAAGACGTATGTGACATCCGAACTATATATCAATGTCAGACTTCAGTAAAAACGTAAATACGAACCATTATATCACGGACTATGTTTTGCAAGGTAATGTTATTGTAGTGAAATAGCGCACGTGATAAACTAAAACTAGGGAAAATAGCGTTCTGTTTATGTACATAAGATGGGGGTAGAAAGATTAAACACTAGTTTTACTCGACGGGATTTCCTAACAAATCCGTTCGTCTTGTTTTCTGGTGAATAATTCAATACTAGCTTGAACGGATTCGATTCTCCACGTCTAACAGTTATAGAACACACAGGTTCTAATAAGTTTATAAAATTTGTAATTTATTGTATAATGGAATGTCTTGATAACTTTGAAAGGACTGGACTTTCCAAGCGTAAAACATGTATGTTTTAATTTAATTAACCAAACAGTTCTTTCAGATTTAGGACGTAAAACGTTTTATTAAAGTGATTGAAGTAACACGGTGGCTTAAGCGTAACTGTGTTAACCGACGGGATTTTGTTGTTCGAACATATTCGAATATGCAAATGAGTTCTATGCAAAGTTACGATCTGAATGGAACGTTTCGACGCCAGTCGTCCGTAGCCCATCGTCAAAGCAACAACGTCCCGTTTACGAACAGATGAAATAATTTCAGCAATTTCTTTACACAATAATCCACAACAAAACTTAGAAACATTTCATAGACACTACAGGCTCCAAAATTATGTCTATTGCAAAACAATTCAACCGACAACCAGTTTGACGCCACAATTTCTTGCTGGAGCCCGAGTTCTACGCGTGATTTTATTGCGTTCAAAACTGTTCCATTTCAAACTGCGCATGCACACACACTGTGGTTTCTCGAAATGCATACTAATTAGGTAACTTGTCACTGATAAAAGTCACCGAAAACATTTTGAGCAATTTTGAGCAATAGTACTAGAGTGAAATTTAAACGTGCCTCTGCATTCTCCATGAATTTCGTAACTTGCTATGATCATGGTAAAGAGAAAACCTGTGCTTACTTTCAACAGTTAGCTGGAGTCTGATCGAAAACGTGTCTCAAAAAATACCTTTACATCATTTTTCCGATTATTTTTTCAGCTCGTAACGATAGAATCAGTCAATTTAGAACTAACATGTATGCCATCGGAAAGCATTTTGGCACAATTTTACTGAAAAGACTATGTTTTCGTTGCTCATGAATATTAATTTATGCAAATGAGACGATTATTTCAACCAATCGTGTCATGCAACTCCCCCCCCCCCCGCGCGTATCGAACTGTACGGAGTTCGATCACGCCCGGGCCCGTTTACCATATTTGGTAGACATGTATATTTCCTGGAACTACTTTCTGTTACAAACAATAATTTGAGATTATCGTCTGCGCAACAAACCATAAAGATAACGTGTCAAGTTTACAACACTACGATACTGTCTCCATGGAAGATCATCGGCGCATTTCAGATATTCTTTGTCGAGTTACGCCCAATTGTGAACCAAATTGCTTCTTGTCAAGCAATTGTTTTTGGCTCACCAACTACAGTTTTTAACAACTGTAAAATCAACGTGTCTCTACCTGCGGATACAAAAGAAAACGTCTGTTTGTTATGTATGATTCGGACCGTCAGTAAATGACCAACTCGTTTAGAATAACCCATAACCGGCGCACGACCTCGGGCCGCAAAAGCCGTATTCAGTTCATGAAAAGTAATAGTATATTCTAGTACTGGATTTCTGTCAAAATAACACTATGTTTGAAGAGTAAGGGGATACCGGAAGGGTCATAATGACAGTGGGGACTGCAAAGGTGATTAACAAGAGGAAAGGGAGGGGCGTAAGCAAAAGCAAAAATCAGAAAGAGTGGTAAGTGGGAGGGAGATACCTTTAGCAAAAAAGGGTGGTCGGGAGAAGGCTGCACGTCGAAAAGGATCATAAGTGAGAGAAAGACAGGAGTCACCATATGTATAATGGAGCAGAGGAGACAGCTCAGTAGAGAGGGGCGGTGAGTGAGGGGAAATGACCTGGCAAAGTTATAATTTAATTGTTAGTGATATGTGGAGGTCGGAAAGGTGATGAGTTTCTAGAGGTGGTAAATGAGCGGGTGGTAAATTATCAAAGAAAACCAAGATAGGCAGAAAGCAAGTAGGGGGCCTAGAGGTACTGTAAACATAATGGGGAGATCGGAGGAATAGAAAGTTATCAGGAGAGGAGGCCAGAAGGATTTGTAGGTGAGGTCAGGAGGGATGGTAAATAATCAAGAAAATTGTGAGAGTAATAGGAGCCAGGTAAACAAAATGGGCCAGCAGGGTAAGTGAACCATTGATAAGGAGACGCCATAAGCGAAAGGGACGTTGGGAGGGGAAGTAAGCAATATATGTAAGTGAGATAACAAGGCTGTGAGAGCCAGTAAGTCTGAGGGATGCCTAGATGTGTTGAAACCAAGAGGAAGAGGCCGTAAGCAGGGGGACTGGGATGGGCAGGGCAGGACATTCTTATATGCAATAAGAGATGAGTGGTGAGCAAGATTAGAAGCCAGGGTGGTAAGTACTAGTAAGTGAAAACACATAAGGGTATTGTAAGTGAGATGAGACCAGGAATGGCTGTAAGCATCGGAAACCCAGGACGGACAGTAGCGAAGTCATATACTGTAGTGGAAGCCATAAGCTGTAAGCGAAATCTAGAAGCTGTGAAGGCTTAGATGGGCATCATTGTGAGGAAGAGGTCAGATGATTGGGGAGACTCTGGGAATTGAACAGAAGTGCCTCGAAAAGGCTTATAAGCAAGAAGACGGGGCAGAAAGGTATTGTATAAAAGCGGGGAGGCTTTTGAGGAACCGTAGGCGATAGAAGTGCCTTAATCAAGAGGAGGAGGCCTGGAAGAGACATAAGTGAGAGCAGGAGGCCATTAAATGCACTTTGCGAAAGGGGAAGGCTGTACAGGTCATAAAAAGAAGAGGGTGGTAAAAGAAGGAGTAGTCAGAAAGGGTCTTAAATAGTTTGCGTACACTCTCGGCCTGCTTTCCTTTAACTTACGGCCCTCTCCGTACTCTATGTCACTATCCCTCCAGTTTCCCACTGGCCTCCCGTTTAAGACGACCTCTCGGTCTCCCCTAGTCAGTCACTCCTTTTCAGTCTCATGTCATCTGCCCTTGAGTTCCAATCACACTTACTGATGACCCTCTCGTTTAAAACATCTCTCAGAATCTCACTCTCACTTTTTGACTCCCCGGATCTCCCCTTTCATTGTATGCTGAATCACTCTTCGTTATTTATGGCTGCTCTTGATCATTTACCACCACTCCCCTTTTTCTCACTACTTATCACAATCCTCTCCATCTCGTAAACAGCTCACATTGGCCTCCTTCCTATCTAAGAGCCTCCTATCTCTCATGATTTGTGGAACGCGTAGCTACTAATTAGGAAAATAATACGGCGAACTGATACAGTGATCAGGCAAACTTAATGTGTCAAATTAATAAAATGCTTGTAATTTACATTTTTTCAGAGAGGCAACATTGACGTGTGGTGCCGACCATTTGACGACGCATTGGTGTTTTTAACTCCCGTGGAGTACACAATGGGAGTCTTTGCAGTTACCCTGTCTGTATGTGTGTGTGTGTGTGTGTGTGTGTGTGTGTGTGTGTGTGTGTGTGTGTGTGTGTGTGTGTGT